AGGATGTGTGTGTGTGTGTGTGTGTGTGTGTGTGTGTGTGTGTGCTCGTGTGTGTGCCTGTATTCTTACATGAACTTTGGTGCTGAAAAGTGAGGAAAGTGGCTAGTGAAGCAAATTGGAGAAGAAAGGAGGCGGAGTGCACCACCAGTGTCCCAGATGTCACCAGGCATGGCTAATCCAGCTTCGTAGACCTGGGCGTAGCTGTTGGGCCTTGTGTCTGCGTGAGCATCATTTGCTTCTGAGATTCTCTGTTGGCTGTGACTGTATCGCTTCTCTGTCATGGTGCTGCCCAGTGCCATGACTCAGCACCGGGCACTGACTGCCCTGGTGTTATGCTGCACCTCGATTGCCAGTGTGCAGAGCGGGAAGTGAGTGCTGGCTTCCTGCTGCCCTTTTCTTTCCTGCCACCTTTAAGTTGCCTGCTGTATACTGGTGGTGACTGCCTATCACAGGATCTCTATTTTCCTATGTATAGTCAAGGCAAAGTATTAGAAACATTTAAATAATATTTTTCTATTTATTACCCTAGTAAGTTTGGTAATTCCTGTAACTTATATGAAACATACCCAAAATAGTTCTTTTTAAAGATTTATTTTCATTTTATGTGTATATTTTGCCTGCACATATGTATTGTGTACTATGTGTGTGTCGTGCCCACAGAGATGGGAGGAGGGCGTCAGATCCCCTGGAACTGTAGTTACAGATAGCTATGAGCTGCCATGTGGGTGCTGGGAATTGAACCCAGGTCCTCTGCAATAGCAGCAAGTGATCTTAACCACTGAGCCATCTCTCCAGCTCCTAATAGCCTGTTTCTTGTTTCACTTCATTGTTTAACAATAGTTTTAAAACATTGCTCAAAGGTTGGATAATTTTAAGAAAAGTTTATATTTGTTAATTTATGATGTACTGGCTGCTCCAAGTTTAGTTGTTACTAAAGTTACCTACGTGATATTTAACAACTACCTTGGGTATTACTGATAGCTTTGTTTTAAATTTTAGTCATACAGTGCCACCTACTGGATCTGGCCTATAAAAACAACTTCACATTTTTGGCTTTCTGGGTTTGATATTTAACTGTTTTCTATAATTCTTCCCTTTCCTAGAATAGAAAGTCTATAGCAAAACGTGTATCTAGAGCTTTTTGTTGGGAGAGAATCTGTGTAAAGTAAGCTTGCCTTCAACTTAAGATCCTCCTGCCTCGGCCTCCCTACTGCTAGAGTTCCAGGCTTGTACCTTCTACTGGTCACATTTAGAGTTTTCCTAACAATGTCGGGGCCTAAACAAAATCCCACAGCATACAGATTTTATAGACATTCTTCATGATGGGTCTTCCTACATAGTGATTCATTTTCTTTAAGTATCTGCTTTTGTTTTGGAATTGTAATCTGTCAGTAGTCTAACATCTCCTTCCTCAGCCAGAAATAGCTTTCGCTAATGATACTTGGTAAAGTGATCTTTCTGTTTGGGCCCTGTTCTTTTACATGAGTTCATGAGCTTGTTTCCTTTTATTCACTGTTTATTCCACTGCATGGAAAGCCCCACAAAGAGAGGCAGGATGCCAGGAACCTAATGTACAAGTGTCACATTACCTGACTGAGTGAAATCATCACACTAAAAAACTTACAAAATTATATCAGTAACATTAAGGAGATGTTGACTGATACCTTTTTTGTTTTTTGGGGGGGTTGACACAGGGTCTCCCTGTAGCTCCAGCTGGCTTGGAACTCCCTACGTAGACCAGGCTGGCCTTGATCCCACTGAGATCTGCCTGCCTTTTTGTCACGAGCACTAGAATCAAAGACATGCCGCACCACTACCTGGCTCAGTATCTTAGTACTTCTTTAACATAGAAAACTAATCAAAAGTTATTTTGGTTTTAATTGATGATTGCATATTAATGCTAAGTAATATTTTATATGCACAGAGAGATATATTTTGCTTAATTAAAACATTTTAATAAAAAGTAATGCCAATATGCTTTCACCACACCCATGATAATTCAAAAATAGGAAATTCAAATTAATCTCCTTCTTGTCCTTAGCTTCCCTGTCAATCTCACGTAGATAAATTAACGCCATGTGGCAGCACGGCCGAGACTAGCCAGGAACGGAGAACGGAGCATGCAGCAAACTAGCAGCCAGAGACGAGCATGCGCTTAGAAACAGCTTCTTAAAGTCTGGATGTTTCTGCGGTTAGTACGGTATAATGTCCCCACAAGGAAAGAGAGCAACTTAAGACATTTGGAGGAAAAAAGAATTTCAGTGAAAAAAAATTCACTAATATCCAGGTGTTGAAAGAAAGTGAGCTTAGTTGTCTATGAGCTCACACGTTACTGCAGAGCGCATATGGGGACACATGGAGAGTGGAAATCCTGATGGTTTTCAGGCTGGCCCGAGAGGTGAAACAACAGTGCCATTTGGAAGTCCTTGTTCTGACACCGAAATAAAATGTAAACAGTGAGAAAGCTTACATCACCTCCACGGTCTGAAGACTTCTTAGTTACCTAGCCTCTGTTATCCAAGAGAGCAAACACAAAACAAATGTTCTTAGTAGCCAGGTGCAGTCCTGACTTGCTGCAGCTCATTGCTACACATTTCTGGGAGGTTGACTCTGCCAGGACTGTCATGCTTACGTGGTAGTTGGTGATAGCTCATGGACAGTTGAGGCACGATATGCTTTGGCAAATGGTAATACTGAAAATAAAGGAAAATTCCCTTCCACCGTCACTGGCTTGTCTAGCAAATGATCCCATGATGTTTGGTTTCCAAAGCATTTCAGGATTTCAGGAATTGATGGTAGTCTTTCAAGTCTTTGAAGATGAGACCCACGTGACGGCAGATTGAGGCACCTGAGGGTGAGTGGGTCCACAGGCATCCAGCAGCAGCGACCTGACCAGAGCACCTGAGCTGTTCGCTTTGGCTTCGTAGTCTCCTGATCTCTAACCATGCTCCTAAAAATCTTTTGTGTTTGTTTTCTTCATCTTTTTGCTTCCGTTTGCTGTCTTATCAGTTCTTACCTTTGCCACTTTAAGTCTTCAAAGAGTATGTGTACACCCCGTGTGAATATGTGTGTGAGTTTAAAGCAAATTCCTAGATATATAAAACTCCCTCTCAGCTTTTAACTGCTAGGTGATAATCCATATCAAAATCTCCCGGAGGATCAATTCTCTGCCTCTAAGTCGTTTCAGGATAGCATTTTGTAGCAACTAAGACGTTTGCCTTCAGAAACCCAAGCACACCTCACACTTATCTAGCTCCAGACTCTCCCATTGAAGATGATTTCTTGAGCTAAGTGCTTTTGAAAGAGGACGACAGATTGTTCTGGACAGAAATGATAAGTTACCTTTCTCCAGCCATCCTTGCCAAGCACATTGCTCTACACATAGACGTGTTAATCCTTGTCTCAGCCCTGCCAGTGAGGCAGAGCTGTGTGCATCCAGTAGATCAAAATAGACCACACCCTAGAAAGAACAATCTTCTAACTCCCACAAGGCATGAGGTGAGGGAGAGGACAGTGCAGGGGCCCTGGAAGTGATTCTGAGTGTGTGCTTTTTAGTCTTTAAAAAATTATTTTGTATATTTGTGTTGTATTGTGTTAAACCTGTTGGATGGCCTCCTCCTCCTCCTCCTCCTCCTCCTCCTCTTCCTCCTCCCTCCTCCTCTCCTGCCACTTCTCCCACACTTCCTCTTCCACTATTCTGAGACCTCACAGCTCATTTCTGAAACCTCAGCAGTGGGTCACTTTTCACATTGAACTTCTGGGCAAGGACAAACAGCATGTCTGGGTTTTCTAAGGCTTTAGCAGATAATATCCTGATGACCTCTCACTCCCAAGCCCACCTCCTCCGACCTCCTGCTCTTCAGGACACTATAAAAAGCAGTCTGTTTTCTTTACAACTTTAAGATTTTTATTGACATGCACAGCCCTAGAGTTCTTAAACTTTTCCAAAAATGTTATTTTTAAAGAGATTGATAAAATAAAGCACACGGGTCTCTGTGGGTTTACTGAGAACGCTGGAGGCCTTAAAAACAAGCAGTTTCCTAATGCTGGTCTTTTCACTTTCCATTTGTGGCTTTCTCATATGGTAATGAGAAAGAATCATCTGAATCACATTTTTCCCCCTCAGTGCTGGCAAAGCATGATGAGTCAACACTGAGTACTTGATGTCCTGAAGCATTTTGCATTTGATAGAGTAACGGAAAAGCCCAGTCTGCTGCCAGTTCTACACAATGACATTCTTCCACATTTTTTTAAGTAGCTTAATTTTAAAATAAATATTTTGTGTACTTTGAGGGAACTACTTAAATAGCATGCTATTGTACAAAACCAGAGTTTTTAAACACAGCCAATTCATTCTTATTTGTAGGATACACAAGCCTAGCAGATATATAATGGAAGGTGCCCAGGACATTTCAACACGAGCTTAATGAAGGACTATTACCATCATTATATTCCATTTTTCCTCTTAGCAAACACAGATGAACATCATATATACATTGATATCAATATGCAGATGTTGATATATGCTTATAAGTGAGATATGTTTGTAAATATACCTGAATTTAAGTTTTTGTTTGGGTATGGTGGACTATGTCATATTGCCTTGAATTCGCCAGTGATCAGGGAAAGGTCTTCATTGTCCTGTCAAATGCTCAGCACTAAGATTTCTTTAACTGTGCACTGGAGAGATGGCTCAGCGGTTAAGAGCACTGACTATTCTTGCAGAGGACCTGGGTCTGGTTCCCAACACACATGTGGTCGCTAACAACCATCCATAACTCCAGTTCCAGGGAATCCAGTACCCTCTTCTGGCCTCTGTGGGCTTTGCATGACATAGGCGCACTTACGCATGTGCAAGCAAAACACTCATGTACATAAAATAAAATAAAAAATAAAAAAAAGAGAGATTTCTTTAATGAATTACATTGGGGGAAATTCAGATTTTAATAACATCTGGAAGCCCCGCGTTCCCTGTTCATTTCATTTCTTGCTTCTTCTAGACGCCCTTATACTTAGTAAATCACGGGGAGAGTGGACCAGTGAGATGCAACAGGTGCAAAGCCTACATGTGCCCATTCATGCAGTTCATTGAAGGTGGAAGACGCTACCAGTGTGGATTTTGCAACTGTGTGAATGATGGTAAGTGTGCCATTAAGTGCTCCCTGTAAAAGCTTACATTTCTTAGCTCAGGAAACCAGATCCCCCGACCCCACCCAGGTAGCACTACTTTCTTTATAATTTCCCCAAATGGAATCCAACACTGAATGGGGACTCCAGGTCCCTGTTACTTTATGTAGCTGTAGGAGTTACATGTAGAAATTGTACCGTAGCTTCGTGTAAACCTGAGGGGGCGGGGAGCTATTTGTCATTCTCCTTCCACAAAACTCTGTTTGGATGCAATATGAGATAAAGCCTAAATATTTCATATTTCTCTCTTTTGGACTGTCCCTTTCTTTTCTTTTTAATTTTGAGACAGGCCCTCACTATGTGGCCTTGTCTATTCTGGAACCCCCTATGTAGACCAGGTTGGCCTTGAACTCATAGAGATCAGTCTGCATCTCTGTCTTCCTAGTGCTGGAATTTTAAAGTTGTACACTGCCACACCCAGCTAGAGTTACTCTTGAATTTAAGCTCATTGGTATTTAGGAAAAGCTCAAGTATAACCAAGGGCTTATATCAATGCTATCAATGTTGAATTTTTAAGAAAGAAGGGACATTATCATGATGTCTCTTCCTACATATTTTTAGTTTTATCCTAGCATGAATTCAGTCATGTTGAAAAAGCTGTAAACTTGCCAAAAGTGTTCTCACATTTATGACATGTTTCTGTAGTTTAAACTCTTTGGTGTTCGGTAGAGCGGATCCTCGGGTGAAAACATTCCCACACTCATGCGCTTACAGACCTTTTCAGCCATGTGATGATTCTTAGAGTAAGAGTTTCCCAGTCTTTTCCTCTGTTCCTTCACATCACTCCCTGAGCCCAGGCCATTTTCTGCCTGTATCCCGGTGTTAATGGTCCTTTGGTACTGTGGGACTCTCTCGTGGGCGAGCACTGCGTGTGTGACATAAGATTGTGTCTGTATCCAACTGAGAGCACCAGACACATGCCACATGAGTCTTTCTCATGAAGATCTTTGATCAGTTCTTAAAAAATTCCTTGCTGTGACAGCCGTGGCGTGGGACTCTTGGGACGTCTCTCTCCTTGTGCCAACTACAACATCTCAGTGCAAACTGAACATGGGGTGAGACCCAGTTCTGCTAACCTTCCCTTCATCTTTGGGGTTTGTTTTTTGTTTTGTTCTTTAGTTATTGTTATTTTGAGACAAGGTCTTCTTGTGGCCCCAGCTGACTTGGAACTCACCATGTAGACCAGGCTGGCCTAGATCTCACAGATACCACCAGCCTCCGCTTCCTGAGTGCTAGGATTAAAGGCATGTGCTACTATGCCTAGCTTCCCTTCTCTTTAAAAAAAATTGTATTAGTTCTTTTAGAATTTCATAGAAGGTGTTTTGATCACATTTACACCCCCACACTCCTCCCCTAACTTCTCCCAGACACCCCCACCATAACCCTACTCTATCCAAGGAAGATCTTGTTCCGTCTCCTATCCTAGATGACTTTAAGTCTGCAGCTAAATCTTCCTATTACTCTGTGTTAGGACTTGGCTTTCTAAACCTCATAACAGTTCACCTCTTTGTGTCTTAGTTCTGGAGAAAACATTCTTATAAAGGCAGAGCCATTTCCTGAAACATTTGAATAAAGTTCTTTGCTAAGTCCAGTCACCCCTGGGATCTTCGGTTTACTGTCACCCCTGGCCGCATGTACACAGTCTCAGCATGGGGACCTTAAAGGCCCAGCTGGTCCTTATAGGGAAGTTTTGGATCCAAACTCAGAAATTTTAGCTCTCCTCACACAGACACTGTTTCTTTGGGTTCCCACCCCAAGTGGCCTCCATGTTCACTTTGTAGCAGGGTTGTACCAGCTAGACTCAAGAAGTTCTTAGAAGGAAGTCAGAGTCCCTTGGATTTAGGTCACCCCGATGCTCCTTATTTAGGTTTAATGAAGGAAGATTTGTTGGCTTCAGAACCCAGTGGAATCTACTCTTAACTACCTTGTAGACTGTCCATTGATTGCCTAGTGGGAAACTTGATAATGGAAAGCATAAGGGAGGGGGATGGGGTGCTAGTTCAGTGGGTAAAGTGCTTTCTACACAAACAAGCACCCAAATTTGATCCTTAGCACCCACATGAAAAATAAGCTAAAGGCTAGGGACATGGCTCAGTGGTTAAGAGCACTGACTACTTTTACAGAGGACCCGGGTTCAGTTCCCAGCACCCACATGGCAGTTAACATCCTTCTGTAACTGCAGTGCTAGGGGATCTGACACCCTCTTCTGGCCCCTGTGCACTTACAGTGCATGCAGGAAAACACACATACACACACAAAAAAATAAATAAATAAATAAATAAATAAGAAAAGGAGGGAGGGAGGGAGGGAGGAAGGAAGGAAGGAAGGAAGGAAGGAAGGAAGGAAGGAAGGAAGGAAGGATGGATGGATGTAGTGGCGCACGTTTGTAATTTCAGTGCTGGAAAAGACAGAAATAGGAGGATCTCTAAGACTCTCTGGCCAGCCAGCCTAGCTAAATCATCAAGCTCCAAGTACCAGCAACAGACCCTGTCTGAATTGCACAGTGGATGGCTCCTGGAGAACAGCACCTGAGGTTGACCTATGGCCTCCACACGCACATGCACACACGTATACTGCACCTATGCACATACACAAAGTGTGACAGGAACAGACCATGTGGCATAATGTATGGTGACTGGCTGATAATAATGACTGGTAGTATTAAATGCTAATGCACATATAAGGTTAATTTTAGAAAGAATTCACATTACATGTACATGTATGAATGTGAGTGAAGTATCTCTTGTGCTGTGTAGAAATGACCATTCCATACATTCTAACAGCGCAGAACTCTACATCACACCTGCATGTAACCTAACAGCCGCCATGTCCCCCCAATTTCTTTACCTCACTGAGAATATCACTTTCCTCTCCTGTAATCTTTGGCAGATGAATTTTTCAAGTTGAGTTGACTCTGTAAATATGAGTCCTGTAGAGCTTACTTTAAAAGAAATGGCCATGATATGGTAAGAGCAGAAAACTTGAGGTTCTCTCATGTTTTTTTTCAAAGTTCAACCTTAGGAAAATAGTCCTGTTATGATTTACATTTCAGTTTCACAACTAAAAGTAAAGACTACTGAACAGTTGGTTGTAAAATAAAGGACTTTTGTGGTTTTTTACAAAGAGAAATGCTTTTCTTTACGAAATTCTCAAACGAGCATTGGTCACTTTTCCACGTACTATTAACAGAATGTTCACTTTCCTGTTACTCTCCAGGCAACAGGAGTTCTTTTGCATGGAGACACCAGGCCTTATTTGTCCAAGTGTTCAGTGTGTGACTCATGAGTTTTGCTGTGCCTTTGGGTGACTTCCAGGACTTTGCCAGAAGTAACCTTCTGAGACATTTGAATCAAATTAGACTTCTTCAACTGAAGTCTTAGTGGTGTAGTCTTTCCCTAATACAGTAATCTTCTGCATGTATTAAGGCCAAATGTTAAAAGATTATTGTGCAAAACCCCCGGGCTGAAGACATTTCTCAAAGTATAACAAAGATTGTAGTTGATAGTATAGTCCAAAATACTTCATTTACTCTATTAGGTATGTTGAAAATCAAATAGAAAACTAAATCCTTAATGAAAGAGATAAGTAGAGATTATTAAATATTTAAGTGTGTTAACTTGAAAAAACCAGTACTTTTATCCAGGATTTCCAAAATTATAAATGTTCTTTGCCATCAATGACTTCTAGATGATCAAGAGGGTTTTAAAGAAAACTCATCCTGGCTATATAACCATGAATAATCTGTGGTTTTCTACATGATCAAAACATTTCGTGATTGAGATGCAGTAATACATTTTAGTGAGGAATAGCAATGAATGCTATGTATGAAATTGCACAGTTCTATAATCTGAATTCCAGGCAAATTGATTTAACTATAAAAATTCCAAAATTTATATATGACAAACTAATATAAACATAATTAAAGGGCAAGGTTGTAATGATTGAAAACACATATAAGAGTCAGAATGTTAGTATGCTTTTTAAAAAGCTCACATGCTTTCCAAGATAGGCTTTCAAGATAAAGGATACCGAGAATGTACTATATTCCAAGTTTCAAACACGTTTTCCTTATGCTGACTCCTTTCCTTCATGATCAGTTTTGAGAACCTGTTCAACTGTCTGTTTGTTCTGTTTTCATTAGTGCCACCATTCTATTTCCAACATCTGGACCACATTGGAAGAAGGCTGGACCAGTACGAGAAGCCAGAGTTATCTCTGGGATCTTATGAGTACGTCGCCACTTTGGATTACTGCAGAGTGAGTATTCCCAGGACCTCAAGTGTTTATACATCGATGTCAGATTCCAGTGAACAACTTTCATATGTAAAGAAATGACTCTTGGCTCATAAAGAAACATCTCAAGAGGGATGTAGAAATACCTCAGATTTAGCTCCAACTTTCTGAGATGTAAGCATGATTCAATTTCTGAACTACCTCACTGGAGTAGTCAGTTTTGCAAATGTGATACAGAAATAGGAGACAGTAACTATTTGTCTGTTCTAGAGAGGATACACTGGCTTTTTGTTGTTTTCTTTTCTGAGACAGCTCTCACTTAGCCCGGGCCTAGAGACTGATCCTCCACCTCCCAGGTGTCGGGCTTGTAGGTGTGTGCTTCTACTGCCCTGATGCCAGCAAGGGCCTCTGAGTGCAGAAGTTCCGCACAGGGCCTCTGCTGTGAAAAGACTTCTTTAGCAAGGCAGAAGCTTAACCAGTATGCTTGGAGAAATGTTGATGTAGAAGTCAGAGTTGTTCCAGTGGTTGGGATCTTGGCCTCTGGTTTCTTTACTTTAACATATAACAGTGAGACTTCACTGACCACCTCCCATAAATGCTTTTTGGTGCTTTCTAAAATTAAAAAAAAAAAAAAGATTTACTTTCCTTATAAAGCAATTGACTGTGGATCCTGTGCTTCCACCTCAGCGTGTATTTGAAACACCTGGGGTTGTCCTGGAGAAAGTCACTCTGAATTATTTCCTTTCTTTCTTTCTTTCTTTCTTTCTTTCTTTCTTTCTTTCTTTCTTTCTTTTTTTTTTTTTTGCTTTATTTTATGTGTATGAGTGTTATGTCTGCATGTATGTAAATATACCCATGTCATGCAATGCCTGTAGAGGACAGAAGAGGGTGTCAGATCCCTTGGAACTGGAGTTACAGATGATTATTAGCCGCCATGTGGGTGCTGGGACTTGAACCCATAAGAACAGTCAGTGCTCTTAACTGCTGAGCCATCTCTCCAGCCCCTATTTCCTTACTTTCTCTTCCAAAAATGAATGCCTGCTGATAGCTCATTCCTAGAAAGTAGCTCTGACCAGGTAAGTAGCCTCTGACCCACAGGTTTCCTTCACATGTTTTCTAGGGAACAGATGCATATACTGAGAATATTTGTCCAGGGGCTGGAGAGATGGATCCGCAGTTAAGAGCATTGGCTGCTCTTCCAGAGGACTGGGATTCAGTTCCCAGCATCCACACGACAGCTAACAACCATCATAACTACAGGGGTTGTAATGTCCTCTTCTGGCCTCTGTGGGCATTAAACACATGGGTGAATTTATGTACAAGCAGACAAAACATTCATACACATAAAAATTCAGAAAAAAATTATGGTTTGGCCCTTTGATAAGCATTCCATAAAAGCCCAAGGCAATAGTTATCCAAAGAGCTCCGATTCAATGAGTGGAAAGAGAACAGCTGTTTACAAGGATAGGATGAGGGCTGTTGGGCTGGTTCAGAGACTCCTATGTCTTCTTGACTCCAGGCAGCCTTTGATCCATAAGGAGAAATGGATTCTTCTTATCGTTTAAGGAAAAGGACAGTTGAGGATTTGTTTCAATACTGGATTGATTTTTCCTTTGAGTGGTCAAGCTTTGGGAGCATGTGATATATACACACAAATTTTCATGATACTGTAAGCTTTTCAATTAATATTAAAAATAGTAGTCCAGGGGCTGGAGATACAGTTCAGCAGTTAAGAGCACTGGCTGCTCTTTCAGAGGACCCAGGTTTGGTTCCCAGCACCCACATGGTAGCTAACAATCACTGATAACTCCAATTCCAGGGAATCTAACACCCTCTTCTGACTTCCATGGGCATTGTACTTACATGCAGGCAAAACACTCATACACACAAAATAA